TGAAGTTGAAGATTTGTTGAGGTACTGCTTGTTGCTACTGCTTTTTTTTTTTCATCTTTCCTTGAGCTGGAGTCTATCGAAAATAACCTCTCTACCTTCAAGGTAGGGGTAAGGTCTGCGTACACACTACCCTCCCCAGACCCCATTTGTGAGATTATACTGGGTTTGTTGTTGTTGTTGTTGTTGTTGTTGTTGTTGTTGTTGTTGTTGATTTTTGTATAACAAAAGAAAAAAAATTATCTTTTGGGTAATGAACACAAAGTTGAATGATTTTTACGTAACAAAAGAAAAAAAAATAACTTTTGGATAATGAACACAAAGTTGAATGACCACCAATGAAATTTACTCTAGAAACTACATGTAGATGAAAAATTGAAGCTTAAAGCCAACCTCCTGCTTGTATTTAGCTTGTCAGATGATCTTGCTAACACTACTAGAAAACTGTTGAAACCCGTCCACACCTTTCCGACCAAAATCAGTCGAAAAATAAATCGACCGATGTTGGTCGGAAAGGAGGTAGTAAATTGGTCACAAAAGTCAAGGAAAATATTTCTCACAAATATACCGACCACCTTCGGTTAGAAATAGTGGTCCCACAATAAAAAATCAAAATTTCCAACTGATGTCGGACGGAAAGTGGTCAATCTTTGACCAAGACCTGATCACACTTGCATAATATCTACCAAAATAAGTTTTAATTAAAATTTTTTAATTATACCAACCGAAATCAGTCGGAAAGTTGAAATTATTTTTTCTCACTCGGTTTTTAAATATAACAAAATTTATATATATNTTTTGATTTTAGGAAGATTCGAAATTTAATTAAAAAATAATTCTCATTTTTGAAGCTTAAATGAAAAAGAAAATTAATCGGAGATTTGAATTATGTGTAAACAACCTCGGATTCAAATTTTGATGATGTCAATAGTTCCGTATGGTGATTTTGGACTTAGGAGAATGTCCGAAAAATTATTTGGAGGTCCGTAGTGGAATTAAGCTTGAAATGTCGAAAGTTAAATTTTTGAAAAGTTTGACTGGGGGTGACTTTTTGATATCGAGGTCAGAATTCGATTCTGGAAATTGGAATAGCTTCGTTATGTCATGTATGACTTGTATGCAAAATTTGACGTCATTCCGGATTGATTTGATGTATTTCGGCACAAGATATAGAATTTGAAAGCTCAAAGTTTATTAGGCTTGAATTGAGGTGTGATTCGTTGTTTTAGCATTGTTTGATGTGATTCGAGGCTTCGACTAAGTTCGTATGATGTTTTAGGACTTGTTGGTATATTTGATTGAGGTCCCGAAGGGCTCGGGTGAGTTTCAGGGTGGTTTCGGACCATTTCTAGGCCATTTTTAATTGCTGGTTTCTGCCTACAGAGGTGTGCATCGCGATCGTGAACTTTTGGTCGCGTTCCCGAAGAGCAAACAGCAGTTTGGGGCCTTGTGAATCGCGATCGCGGAAGCTCTTTCGCGATCGCGTAGAACAAATCTCCGTTGTACTGACTCGAATTTGGAAGCTTATATCTCACAATCTATAAGAAATTTGGAGATGATCCAAAAATAAAAGTTGTAGCCCTTGATATCTAGTTTTCAAAAAAGTAAATTATTTGTCATTTGGAGTTGTGTACAAAAGGTTATGGTTGATATACTATAAGCTGTCTGAGAAGAGTTTGAAAATCTCCGTTTCACAAGGCTGACTTTGGAAGCTTATAGGTAGAAATCTATAAGGAATTAGGAGATGAACAACAAATAAAAGTTATGGCCCTTGGTGTCCAAATTTCAGAAAGTTAAACCATTTGTAATTTGGAGTATTGTACAAAAAGTTATGACCATTATACTAGAGGTTATCTGGAAGAGTTAGGGGAGTTTGTTCTTCGCGATCGCGATTGGTTTTCCACGATCGGGAAGAGCAATTTTGGGGCTGAAAATTTTTGTGCTTCGCGATCGCGAAGAGTAAATACCTGGACAGTAGCTATATTTCGAGGTTTCGGCCATTTTTGACATATTTGGAGATATAGAGCTCGGATTAAAGCGATTTTTGAGGCGATTTTCACCATATGGATTAGGGTAAGTGTTCTATATCCTAAAGTATTTATATTTCATAAATCTATGATTATATCCATCGTTTAATTCGGATTTTAATGGAAGAAATCAAGATTTTGCAAAATCTTCCAAAAACGAAAATTTAAGATTTGGAGGTCGAGTTGTTATTGGAATTCAATAAAANTATTTAAAAATAAAGTGTATAGTTCTATAAGATGTAGTGCTTTGTTAATACTTAGGTTTTAGCAACAACAACATATGTATACTTATATTAATATTGCATACGTTAATATAGTATTAATATATATTAATCAATCTTAATGTGTAGGAGTACACTCAGAGTTTGCCACCGAATGAGCAAGGCGAGCGACCACCCATTTCAGACGAAAAAGCGCAGAAGATACGGTTGGATATTGTCGGTGGTCCTAAAAAGAGGATAGCATACGGCCTTCCAGAGAGATCATTTCGGCGCTACATGGCTGGATTGCAAGGTATAGGGACTTCCGCCCAAGGTGAGGCAATTGATAGGTCGACTATCTCGTCTATGGAGAAGAAGATCGCAAAGCTGACAGCAGAGCTTGAAGAGACAAAGGCTAGAGAACAAAAGAAAGATAGACAATTTGATACCCTTCAAGTCCAGCTAGAAAAGAGGAACCAATAATTTAATCTCCTTGAAGGTCAGCTGGCCAATCTTCTTGCTAGTGGTGCTTTTTCCATTCCCCGGTCTCGTGAGCCTTCCCCAGATGCTAGTCCTTCTCGTCGTGATCCTTCGAACCATGCCGACGATGAAGCTTCTAGTAGTAAAGATAGAGGTGAAGCAATACAAAATACTCATTGAATGATGTTTAAATTTTTAACTAGTGAAATATTTTGTTGTTGGGTATTATGTTTTGTTAATATAGTTTAGTGGAGATGGAGATGATGTTTTGTTAATAATATAATTTTGATAGTTGTTATTGTTATTGTCATTGTTATTGTTGTTATTGTTGTTGTTATTGTTGTTATTGTTATTATTGTTGTTGATATTGGTTGAATAACAGTAATGTAATGCTGCCATTATAGGTGATTGGTTATTGGCAGGTGGTGCAGCTATAAAACAACTGTATTCTGTCAAAACAAATACCCAAAAAACCGACCGCCTACCGACCGAAGTTGGTCGGAACTGTTCATTTGAATTTCCCAGAAATTCAAAGTTACCGACCGACTTCGGTCAGAATTTTTGAATTTAAATATTAAATATTTTAACAATTCCGACGATTGTGGTCGGAATTTTTAATTTTACATTTTAAATATTTTAACCATTCCGACCGATTTCGGTCGGAATTGAACAGTTTTAACAAAAATTAATAATTAAAGTTCCGACCGACGTCGGTCGCTAATTTAAAAATAATTTAAAAATATTTTTAAAAAATACCGACTAAAGTCGGTCGGTATGGTTATTTTGTGTCAAATAATTTGGTCAAACTGCGTTGACAAATACCGACCAATTTCGGTTGGTAATATCTCGATTTTTGTTCGATTCCGACCAATTTCGATCGGTTTTGATGGACGTTTTTTGAGAGTTATTTAGTAATGCAAGTCTTGTTTAAAGTTGATTTTCTCAAACTTCTTCCAACTCGAGCTTAAACACTGTAGTGGGAGCATTTTGGTTTGAACTTGTGGCTTGAGCAGGCTCATTGGATTTGGAAGTGATCATTCAAAATAGTACTCCACTTAACTTGTTTACAGCTTTTGCACCTCTGTGCATGTAACATGGAGTGAATAACTTCTTGAAGTTAGTAGTTGAGAACAACTGCTAGTTTAGTAATTGGGACACTGGAGAACAGTTTATGGGGGCAATAATATAGAAATTCCCAAATTATTGCTGTCCAAATAGGTGCACATGCAAGGATGTTAGCGTGCTTAGAAAGTATGCTAATCCTGTTCTACCTGATCCTTTCAGAAGTCATGAAAACAAGTAACTTTATATTATCAAGATAGACTTGTCTCACCCAAGACTGGGCCTAATTGTCAATGCGGTGGAATTCAAAATAGATGGTTTCTTTCTATCTGTTTAAACCAGAGTTACTTGACAGGTGAGAGGTAATGCATAATCTGTGAAATAAAAATATGCTCAAGCTGGCTCAGACACTACTATTATTAATAGAAAATCAAGATGGACTTATGCTCAAGGTAGACGTTTGACGAATATTTTAACTACTTTATCTTTTACGGAAGATCTTAAGCATAGTTGAGGTGCATTTTTATGATGGCGAAATTTTAAGCATCAACCTGGCAGTGCTATACTGCTATTTTATGTGCAATTCTTGTAGGTCACTTTCAAAAACCTGTAAATCTTCCCCATCTCTAATGGTATAGTAACACGAGATGTGCGGTTGTGATCATAACGGGTATACGTTTGCAATTCGCTTAATCTGTACCTATGACTAAATTTTCTCACTTTCTTATCGAAGCTAATGCGGTGCACAATTTATGTACATACTCTTCCGAAATGGCAAATTGGCTTTCGACAGTGTTATGAACTTTTCACACGATTCGTGCAATTTAACTTGTTATAGAATGTTATTTGTCTTATTTTTTCAATTTATTAATTTAACTTATTACACAAACAACTTTTACACTGTCGGGGGAAGAAGTTAAACCCGACAGGATTACTAGTTATAGGCAGTTGATCCTGCAATTGTTAACTTGATTAGATTAATACATAAGAGATTGAAACATGTAATTCACCATACGAGAGAAGGAAGAGAGAAGAGATATATTATTTCATTTTCAGTCAGTTAAAGAATTGAGTGTCTGTATACTTACACTAGTTAAACTATCTACAACAAATGGGCTTACTTCCCAGAATTGGGTCTAGTAGCCTGTTATACAAATAAATATAATGTGGCCCAATAAGTCATGTGGGATGAGCTTCAGATTGGGCCTGCGTATGATTGTGCTGCTTTCTTACTTCAACTCCAACACCCCCGCAAGTTGGAGGGTGACTGCACACCCAACTTGAGCAAGAGAGAATGATGGGCCAGACGTGTAAGAGGCTTGGTAAAGACATAAGCTAGCTGAGAGGAAGTGAGAACATGATGCAAAGCAATCAAACCTTCACCAAGCTTGGTTCTAATGAAATGGCAGTCGACCTCAATGTGTTTGGTTCGCTCATGGAAAACAGGATTTTTAGCAATATGTATTACTGCTTGGTTATCACAGAAAACAGGAACAACAACAGGAACAACATTTCCAAAATCAAATAGTAGTCGCACAACCCAAACCAACTCAGCTACAACTTTACTGATGGCTCTGTATTCAGCCTCAGCTAAAGAAAGAGACACAATATGTTGTTTTTTTGCCTTCCAGCCAACAAATGAATCACCTAATAAAATGCAGAAACCAGTGACTGACCTCCTGGTGTCTGGGCATGCAGCCCAGTCAATGTCACAATATGCAGATAAGGAGAGATTAGGAGAGCTACTGATGAACACTCCAACATCAGAGGACCCCTTAAGGTACCTGAGAATGTGTAAAGCAACATGCATATGGGAAAAAAATGGGCTCTGAAGAAACTGACTCAGATGCTGCACTACAAATGATAAATCAGGCATGGTATGGGTAAGAAAGTTAGGTTTACCCACCAGACTTCTATACTGCTCAGGAGATGGCAGAAGTTCACCCATATCAGCCTTCAACTTGTGATTCAAATCAAGGGGGAAAGTGACAAAACTCACATCTTCACAATGGTACTCCTGGATGCCTGTCTCAACCCATACAAGGATTTTTGGAGATGGCAGACCAAAGGAGATGAGGAATCAGAAGATGAAGTGGCACACAATCCAGGGGGAAGCTTTACAACAGGAGAGAATGTCTCATTGAAATCTACACCTTCAACTTGAGTGTCACCCCTAACAACTAGCCTAGCCTTATATCTCTCCACAGTCCCACGAGCCTTGTATTTGATTTTATAGACCCATTTGCACTCAATTGGTTTCTTCCCAACATGCAATTCAACTATAGACCAAGTGTGATTAGCCTTGAGAGCTTCAAATTCCTTTCTTATAGCCTCTTGCCATGCAGGAATAGACACAACTTGTTGATAGGAATGAGGCTCAACTTCAGCAGTGTCAGCTAAGTTATGAAGGCATGCAAAAGTAGAACTGGAACCACATAAGGAAGGAGGGAGATCACATGCAAATTATTGGAGATGAGTAAGGAGAGTATGGGTCATGGCAGACCTCCTAAGGACAGGGGAGAAAGCAGTAAAAGAAGGAGCAGGGGAGCTAGGAGAAGAGACAGGTTCATGAGAATAATGAAAGGGAAATGAAGAAGAAGGAGAGGAAGGAGCAGGAAAGGAAGGAGTGGAAGTATCAGGACATGAAGGAGTGGAGGGATCATAAAGGTAAGAGGAAGAAGGAGCATGGAAGACAGTAGATGGAGAAGTATGAGATGAAGCAAAAGGAAATATGTACTCATAAAAAATCACATCTGTAGATACTAGAGTGAGCTTAGTAGTGAGGTTGTAAAGCTTATACCCCTTTTTAGTGAGGTGATATCCCAGAAAAATACAAGGTTCAGCTCTAGGCCGAAATTTGTTCCGATAGCACTTAGGAACTGTTGAGAAACATAGGCATCCGAATGTTTTGAAGTGAGAATAGAAAGGAGGCTGCCCAAATAGTAATTCAAAAGGTGATTTCTTCTGAAGAAGTTTGGAAGGAAATCTATAAATTAGATATATGGCAGTAAGTACACAATCCCCCCAAAACATGAGAGGTAGTTTGGACTGAAAAGGAAGAGCTCTAGAGGTCCCTAGTAAATACCTATGTTTTCTCTCTACTGCACTATTTTGTTGTGGAGTGTGAGAACAAGATGGTTGATGAATAATCCCAGTTTCAACAAAGAACTCCCTAGAAGAATTACTAGAGCCAAGTTCAAAAGCATTGTCACTTCTAATAATTTGGATAGTGGTGTTGAATTGTGTTTTTACTATGGTAACAAAAGTTTTGATTAAAGAAAAGGCATTGCTCTTGGACCCCATGAAATGAGTCAAAGTAGATCTAGTAAAGTCATCCACTATAGTCAAGAAGTATTTGCAACCATTATAGGTAGGGCAACCATAGGGACCCCAAGTATCCACATGAACTAGATGAAAATAATGTGTAGTCTTAATGGAGCTATCAGGGAAGGGTAACCCAGATTGTCTAGCTAAGGGACAAATAGTACAAGTAAAGGGTTATTTTGTAGAAAATTTACAGGGCAAATCAGAGATTTCCCTCATTCTAGCAAAGGGCATGTGCCCCAATATATGATGCCATAAAAGCTCCATTTTATTCAAACCGGAATGATATATACAATGAGAATTAGTAACTGAATCAGAAGCTAATGGAGCATGGTATTTACAATGAATAGAATCAGAAGGTAAAGAAGAAGAAAAAGCAGAACTGGATGCAGAAGCAAGAGCATCAGACTTTGAAGAAGTAGAGGAATGCACAAGCCTGTAGAGTCCATGCTCAAGTTTACCAAAGACCAATGACCTCTTCAGTGAAGGGGCATGTATCAAACATGCAAACTTAGCAAATAGAACAATGCAATCTAACTGAGAGACAAGCTTAGACACAGAGATAAGATTGTAATGAAAGCTAGGGACATAAAGAACATGATGAAGTGTAAAAGAAAGAAAATGAAGGGAACCAGTGCAAGTGACTTTGACTTTGTACCCATTAGGTAAAGTGACTAGGTAAGGTATAACTAGAGGTTTGATATCAAAGAGAAGGTCCTTATTAGAGGTTATGTGGTCAGTAGCTCCAGAATCTATAATCCAAATGCAATCATGTACTTTAGTCAACATGCAAGCACCATAAGAGACATTCTTAACAGAATCAGAAGGAGTGAGTATACCAGCAAAATTGGCAGAGGCCATAAGACTGGATTGTGGCAAAGATTCTGAAAGTTGTGGCACAAACTGAAGCAGAAGCATGAGCTGGGTATACTAGTCTTTAGAAAGACCAGGAACCAAAGATCCTTGATCAGTTGAACCCTCAGCTTGAGAATGATTACCTTCAAAATCAACATTGGGACCTTGTACCTCTACATTTGACGCAATCCTCCAATCCTTGGTGAATTTGAAACAAGATGGAAAACCATGAAGTCTGTAACACTTCTCAACAGGATGTCTAGGTTTCTTGCAGTATCTACACACCGCACTTGATTTATTCTGATCAAAATTAATCCTCTGATTGAACTGTCTAGTGGGTGGACCTGGAAACTTGTTAGTGGAATGAGGATTAAGAGAACTTGAAACTTTGTTGGTGAGGTGAACATTGAAGGAAGCAGAATCAACACTAAATTGGGATGGAGATGACACTTGTCTTTGTCTCTCATCTTGAATAAGGATACTATAAGCAGTATCAAGAGATGGAGGATGCTGCATCATAAAGAGATTGCTCCTAACTCCAACATATATCTCGTTGAGCCCTATAAGAAACTAGTGTAATTTGTTCTCATCATCCTCTCTCTGAAGTTCAGACTTGGCAGAACAGGTGCATGAACTCCCACGAGAAGCACGCATGAACCTAAGTTCACCCCATAACTTTTTCAGCTTATTAAAGTAGGATTCTATGTCCAGTGACCCCTGATTAGTTGAAGCCAATTCATTCTTAATTTCAAAAACCTTGGTGTCATTTACTGTTCCATACCTTCGATTAAGTTGAGTCCAAATACTTTCTGCAGTATCAGAATACTGGACGCTCTCAGCTATATCAGGTGATAAGGAATTGGTCAACCAGGAAATGATCATGTTATTACAACGGTCCCACTGTTTAAACTGGGGAGAATTCTCAGGTGGCTTGGTACATGAACCATCGATGAAGCCTATCTTATTTCTAGTGGACAAAGAGACAATCATGCTATGTCTCCATCCACCAAAACCAATATCAGAGAATGGCACAGTGACAAGTGAGACACCAGGTACATCAGAGGAAAGGAGAAAAAGAGGGCTCGAGGAATCAAGTGCGAAATTTGAAGAAACTGATGAAGGCTCGGCATTAGGGTTCACCATATTGTGAAGCACAATCAAACAAAGAGCAAAATACTACACTTATTCAAAAACAAAGAGCAAAATACCAACACTTAGATGAACACAACAGAGCAATCAGTAGATATGACAAGGAACGAGTGTACCCGTCGTCTTTGCGACCTAAAGACGATGAATGCCTTGAAATTTATTGAAAACCCCAAATTTGCACTCATAAAGGAACCAACAGTAAACCTTAATCGAAGAACTGAAGCAATCCACTAAAAAGCTTTTGAAACAACTTCAAAACGACTTCAATCCACTGAAATTTAGCTGAAAATCTGCCGAAATTGACACATCCAAAGCAAAAAACTAAGAACTTTGACGACGATCGAAAAACCATAAAGCACCACAAAAATTGAGAAACTTTGATGATAATAGATTGTAACGACCCGGCCGGTCGTTTTGAGTATTACAACCCCATTTTCCCATTTACTGCTCAAATTATACTTTACAGTTATTGTGTGAATTACCGGGGTAATTGGTTCGGGTCCAGTGAGGTTATGGAATGAATTGGAACACATAGTTTCAAGGTTTAAAGCTTAAGTTAGGATAGTGATCGGATATCGACTTATATGTAGACGACCCCGGAATGGAATTTTGATGATTTTTAATAGCTCCGTATGGTGATTTTGGACTTAGGAGCGTGTCCGAAAAATTATTTAGAGGTCCATAGTGGAATTTGGCTTGAATTGTCGAAAGTTAAATTTTTGGGAAGTTTGACCGGGGGTTGACTTTTTGATATAGGGGTCGGAATCCAATTCTGAAAATTGAAATAGGTCCGTAATATGAAATATGACTTGTTTACAAAATTTGAGGTCAATCGGACGTGATTTGATGTGTTTCGGTGTCGTTTGTAGAATTTGGAAATTTAAAAATTTATTAGGCTTGAATCCGTGTGTAGTTCGTATTTTTGAGGTTGTTAGGTATGATTTGAGGCCTCGAGTAGGTCCGTGTTATATTGTGGAACTTGTTGGTATGTTCGGACGGGGATCCGAGGGCCTCGGGTGAGTTTCGGATGGTTAACGAATTGATTTTTGAATTTCGAAGACTGCTGGAACTGAAGCCTTCTGGTGTAATCGCACCTGCCGAAAAGTAGTCGCAGGTGCGGGCTCGCAAGTGCGAGCAGGGGTGCGCTGAAGTGAGGTACGCATGTGCGGAAGATGCTTCGCAGGTGCGAAATCGCACCTGCGCGAGAAGGAGCGCAAATGCGGGTAGAGGGCTGTGAGGCATTGGTCGCAGGTGCGAGGGAAAATTCCGCACCTGCGTGAGCGCATATGCGGATGGATGCGCGCAGAAGCGGAAACTGGGCAGGCGAGTGGAGTCCGTAAATGCGACATTTTGCTCGCACAAGCAGATGTTCAGGTGCACAAATCTTGTCCGCAGATGCGGAAATCGCTGGGGCAGAACCTTAAAATTCGAGGGTTCAATATTTTCACCCATTTTCGGATTTTGGAGCTCGGGTTGGGCGATTTTGTAGAGGAAATTTTTCACACAACTTGGGATAAGTGTTCTTAACTCCCTTGTGATTATATTCCATGAATTAATCTTCATTTTTGGTGTAAGATTATTGAATCTTCAAGAGAAATAGAAGGAAATTTCTATAATATC